ATTTATTTGTGCATACAGAACTGGGGTACAGGCCAGGGGTACAGGGGCGATGAGAGGATTTACCAGAGACAGAGTGGGAGCAGAACAGGTAGACTGATGAAGTACACTGCTGAGGGGAGCAGTGGGCGTGTCAGGAGAGGTCTGCTGAGCCATGTGGATCACCTCTGGGGCAGGCGGGAATTTAACTCAGGCTGAAGTGGCTTTAGCTTCTTAGTGCTGTGCTTTAACCCACTGCACTACCAGGGTGGGCGCTAAAGGGTGACTCTTAACTCAGTCAGATAAATGGTAGGACTGAAGTACCAGCTGATTTAGATTTTAATTAACCTGTTTAGTTTTTCTTGACTTTAATTATGTTCATCTATCACTTGCATATTCCTCACTTAGACATAGGAGTTCTTCTTTTACAAATAAAAGGTTAAAAAAGTAGGATTTGGGCCCTCCCTGGTGGCACAGCGGGTTAAAGCACAGCACAAAGAAGCTTAAGCCACTTCCACATGAGTTTGATCCCTGCCTGCCCTAGAGGAGATCCACATGGTGCAGTAGACCTCTCCTGACCCGCCCACTGCTCCCCTCAGCAGTGTACTTTGTCGATCTTCCTGTTCTGCTCCCCACTCTGTCTCTGGTGAATCCGCATCTCTGGCCTGTACCCCAGTTCTGTACGAATAAATACATAAATCTTATAAAAAAGAGTAGGATTTTACACTGGGCAAAGCAGAAAATGGAAAAATGACAGTAATCACTGACAAGAATGAATTTGATTTTGGGGCATGTGTGCAAATCCCTTAGTATTTCCATTTTTCAAGTTCTAACAAAGAAACTGTCAGATTATGTTTGGGTTTTGCATCCTTGAACATTTGAGTGCATTAGTTTGATTTTGATGGACTGTTGAAGATTCATTAAGTCACACATGGGACAGGTATTTGAGATGTTAGACCCAGCTTCCTTAGGTCTTCAAGGTTGGCAAATCCTGCCACAGCATGAATGCTGGGGCATGCCTCAGGTGTGAGGAGTGAGCTCTGGGTGACATTGGTCAGTGTACCCTTCCAGGGTTATCTCCTCCTGGAGGGCAGAAGTCACCTGGAGGGGGCTGGGTCAGGAGATGCCCTTCCAGGCAGGGCAGCACTCTGGCTCTGCAGGGGGCAAAATTACCCTGGAGGGAGAAACACCATAGTCCAGGGCTTCTATGGAGAACGCTGACTGCTGCTAAGAGGATTGGGAAATCGTTACTCTGCCTGAGGTTGGGGTACCCATTTCTTACTCTAACCTTGGCTAGTTACTCTTATTCTTGAGGGCAGGAGCCGACCAGAGACAGACAACACCAGGGAGAGAATGAGGTGTGACTGACCATTTCTCCAAAAGGGTTACTCTGAACTCTTAAGTAGAACGAATACTTTATATTTTACTTATTTGGAAAAAAGAGTTGAATGGCTTTCTTTGCCATGGCTTCTCTCTGCTGATTTTTCTTGGGTAAGACAAGATCTTAGGTTCTCCTAAGCTATAATGAAAGCATATCCTGAAACACGATGAGGGATCAATGTAAAGATGCTAAGTTATTTCTTTTCAAAAAGTGAGAATTTCACACTATAAAGCTAATTAGTGGTTACCAGGAGGGAAGGTTTGAGGAAGGAGATGGGTGAGTCAGATTAAAGGGGGCAACTGCGTGGGGGAGGATAGAATTGGCCTTTTTAAAATGGTTACTTAATATAGTATATATAGATGTTGATTTTTTTTTTTAAATTGAAGTACCATTGGTTTACATCCTGTTTAGTGTCTTAGATACTCAGGTATAGGGACCGTAGTGCACCCTGAGTCCACCAGAGTCTACTGTGCTCTCTCCCCACCCTTCTCTCACCCCTCCCTCTACCTCTGGATGCCTTAGTTCTAAAATGTTGCACACCTGAAACGTACATCTTATAATGCAATGTTACTTAAGTAAAAAAAGTGACAAAAATTAACTTCTGGAAGATAATTAATATTAACTGATTAATATTAAAATATATATTTAAAAATATTTTTTAGAAGTGAACTGACAGCTGAATTAAGACATGTATATCCCTAATGATTTGTTGGTGAGTGCTGGTCTTGTTTTTATAAATCAATATCACACACATTCTCTGAATTTTGCTATCTGGATCTATTTCTTAATATTTAAGAGTATGCATTTATCAGTGTGACAAGAGTTAAGTCACCCTCCTACTACAATATTTGGGTCTGTTAAAAAGCTTTGGGGTTTTCTTTAAAAATAGTTTATTGTGTAGTAGTGTTCTTTTTAAAAAAATTTTTAAAAAGATTTATTTATTTATGTATACAGAACTGGAGTACAGTCAGAGGTGCAGCGGTGGCGAAAGGATTCACCAGAAACAGAGTGGGGAGCAGAACAGGCCAACTGACAAAGTACACTGCTGAGGGGAGCAGAGGGGCGAGCAGGAGAGGTCTGCCACATCATGTGGGCCACCTCCGGGGCGGGGATCGAGA